TTCCTTTTCATTTGAGGCAGCTGAATCTATATTCTTCCATAGTGCCCTGTAGCAATTCTTAGTCTCTCACAATCTTTACAAAGTCAGTAGTATTGCTTTCTTTACTCTAAGTACACCTGTTTACACGCTCCCTGTTGTTCTGTCACCTTGTCTGGGTTTGACTGTTTTTTTCTTCATTGCTTAGAAAGGGTCTTGACTTTTAGGAAAGAAGAGGGGAAATGAATCAGCAGAAATTTCCAGCTGCATCCATCATGTGATAAAGTTAGGAACCAGAATCCTCAGATGATGTAGCTCCAGTTGGCTTTAGCAAATAAAAACTGAATAAATATATTCAACAAGCCTATCTCTGTCACCATTACTATATTCATGTAGTATAAGGTTAGTATTTGTGTAATCCAATATCAGTAGACAAGATCACCGCCAAAGAGGAGTCATGTAGTTTTATGAACTGTGCCAGAGGAGAGTATGTACTTTGTGATCAATTTGTCTGGAATTACCAGCTTCACTTGCTATGCTAACTCATTAAAACTAGAGTTTAACCTTTTCTAATTGGGTTGTAACTGTACAGAATGAGTTCTACTCCATTCCTGACATTCCACTGTATGCTGAATCTTAAAGGCACAGTGCTCTTGCATTATATCCCATTGCTATGCAACAGTAAAATGACAACTCATGGAGAAAGGAAGAAAACCGGATGTCTCACAGTTATGTAAGTGTGATAATATCATGTCTGAGAAATGGAAGTGAGAAATGAATCCCAGGACCAGTGATGCTCCCAGTGGTATCAAAAACATAAATGGATCTAAGGAAGCTGTCATGTTGTGAGGATAAGGCCTTTTCCTGTAGCCATAGTGTAAGGTCTGAGGCCTTTGTCTGTGTCCATATTAGGAGAGCAGTAGCCATGAATTAAGAAGCAGAAAGTTACATCTTCACATTCCATCTAAATTACATTAAAACAATGTAATACCGGGCTGTTAAGAAGGCCATCCTGTCCTAATAACACCCACCATCACCAGATAAAGAAACAGATCTTAAGATGGTTAAAGAAAACTTAGTTTGATACGTGATTTCTTGCCAGACAGAATGCTATCAACAGCTGTGGTTGTGAAATCCTCATTTCTTTATTGTTTTGTCTTTATGGTCCCCACTTCTCTATTGTTTGTCTGATCCAGGGGTGGGCAAACTTTTTGGCCTGAGGGCCACATCTGGGTGGGGAAATTGCATGCAGGGCTATGAATGTAGGGCTGGGGCAGGGGGTGAGAGTGCGGGGTGCGGGAGGGGGGGCGGTGTGCAGGAAGGGGCTCAGGGCAA